AAAGAGCTATCAAGGAAGTATTTCATTGTTTTTTTCCATCTCAATGTTCTCTTTATTTTACAAGTCTTTGTTGAAGATTTCTTTTGACCTCAGACTTCTAGAGCTTTAAGAAGATGTCAAGCATATTTTCTCAGGAAACCATAGTTCTGAGCTTGGAAAGACTTTGGCTCTAGTAAAACTAGAGCCAAAATAAATAAATAAATAAATACATACATACATATTTTAAAAAAATAAATGAGAAGCAAATTAGTCTTCAGCATTCTTTATGCAATTTCTTTTGAGTTTTGCTTCTTAGAGCTTTCATACAAATTTCTCTATATCTAGAATCCCATTCTCAATTTGAGTTATTGCTCCAGATGAGATTATTCCTGGAAAATGCTTATGCTCTAAAACTCAATAGGTCTAAAGTCTAAGCACAGAGTGCTCTAAGTAACAGTGTGACCGTGAGCAAGTTACTTAGCCTCTCATCATTTGTAAACCTTAACCAACCTCAGTGGCTTATTGCCAGTGATAAAGAGATCATCTAGATAAATCACTTATCACAGGGACTGTCCTAAGAAATCTACTCTATAAATATTTGTTATCAATGAAACTAGGCTCTGGTTCTAGATGAAATAAACACTCCATCCTGTTTCTTCCACTAAATATATCTATAAAACCTGGAGAGAATGCATAGAAGAGCTATTTAAGTTTTCTGAAAGTAAACAATAGCACAAAGGTTGAGGAGGAAAATCAAAATTCAAAATACTACTGATATGTCCATGAATTTACATTTTCTTTTTTCACTTCAGTAACCCCAGCCGTAACTCAATGCACCAGATATGAGCAACAAGGCATAGTAAAATTCTCTAGCTCTGGTTTAATAGTGGAAAAGGAAGTCATTAGATTTCAGAAATATCACAGATCTTTGTTTTCTTTCAGGTCTCAAGAATTCCCGTGATATTGGTGACAGCTATAGGCAATAGGATACAACACCAACCAGAACTCTGGTTGAGGGGACTCTTTCTTTTGGATCAGTGGAGCTACAGTTCCAAGATACTGGGGTATATCCTTTTACTTGCTTTTACTTTCTCTCTCTTTTGCTGCTTGGCACCAGACATGGGATCATTTGGTGAGGTACACAAAAGAACAAGTTAAAGAGAGTTCCTGCCTACAGGACCAAGAACAGGAGTCCCAGGGAAATAGAAATTACCTAGGTTAGCTGAAAAGAGGCAGGAGCTTGGAAAGTAGTCCAAGAAAAGTTTTTATGAACTCCTAGGCTCACCCTAAGCTGTGCATGTATAGTTGCAGCATTATTTAGCATATAAAAGATACTGAGAACTAAATTAACAGATACACAAACACCAAGGTCCCAGACTGGTTACTGGGTGATACATGTGTGGAACAGATTAAAAGAGTACTGAAATGGCTTTGAAAACCACAGATTGGAAACTGTAGTTGAACCTAAACTGGTCTACTGCCTATTAAAACAAACATATTATTTTTAGAAATCAGTCAAAACTCAATCTTGTGTGATAATATTCCAAATATTTAATATTCATTCCAGATTTACTTGGCACAAAAAGAACAAGCAAATCATAGGGAAAAAGACAATTAACAGATTTCAATGATAATATATCAGAAGTGTTGGCATTCCTTGACAAATATTTTAAAGCCATTATTATTAAATTGCTACAGCAAGCAATTATGAACACTATTGAAACCTATTTTAAAAAATATAAAATCTGAGCAAAAACATAACCGAAGGTATAAACTAAACAAATGGAAATTTTAGGAAGCTCAATATATAAAGTCTCCTGAATGGCTCAGTTGAAAATGGAGATGAAGTGGAAAGAATATATTTTAATATAAAGTGATAGAAATTACTCAACATTATTCAATCATTCTCTGGGCAACAGAGAAAAAAAATATAAGGACCTACTGGACAATAACAAGTGAGCTAAAACTTGTGTCATCAAACTCCCAGAAAGATAGAAGAATGTGGAACTAAAAATAATCTTTAAGAAAATAATATCTGAAAACTTCTTTGCAATTCTGAAAGATATAAACCTACAGATTTAAAGAAGCATGAATACTCAAAACAAGATAAACTCAAAGAAAAGAGTCATGGTGACTTCACAATCAAATTGCATGTAACCAAAGATAAAAAACAATTTTTTAAAAGATTTTATTTATTTATTTGACAGACAGAAATCACAAGTAGGCAGAGAGGCAGGCAGAGAGAGAAGAGGAAGCAGGCTCCCCGCTGAGCAAAGAACCCGATGCAGAGCTTGATCCCAGGACCCTGGGATCATGACCTGAGCCGAAGGCAGAGGTTTTAACCCACTGAGACACTCAGGCAACCCAAAAACAATGCTCAAAGACAGAAAAAGACAGTTAAAATTCCTGTTATACTTTTTATATATAATGTATATATATACATATACATATATAATGTATATAAAAAGTATAACAGGAATTTTAATGACAGATTTCTTGTCAGGAATCATAGAGTTCAAAAGAAAATGGCACATCATTTTTAAACTCCTGAAAGAAAATACCAATCCAAATTCTATATCCAGCAAAAATATCTTTGACAAATAAAGACATCTCAGATAAAGGAAAATTAAGATAATTTGTTTCCAATGAAACTGATGTAAAGGCATAATTCATTAAAAACCTTAAGCTATAAAAGAAATAGTACTGGGGGGGGAATTTGGAATATCATGAATGCAAAAAAGCATCACAATGGTAAACTCTTGAGTAAATATATTAGCTTATTCTTCCCTTGAGATTTGTGCATTTGATTATTCGAAACAAAAGATTACAGGAGTATAATAAAGAATTTATTTAGTCTTTGTCCCAGGTTCCTGGCATGAGACTCCTAAAATCCTTATAATTTCCTGAGTAATAGGAGTGATTTATGATTCATGAGCCTCTTTGGATTTTACCTGATAGTTTATAAAAATGAGATGCTTCATGATAGGCCCCTAAATATTTCAGAATTGGAGTAACAGTGCCTAAAAGGCTAACCATATAGTTAGAAGTTTGGGTCTTTGAGGTGGTCTTACCTATATAAATGGAAAGGGTGCTACAGATTGAGTTCAGTCATGTGGCCATTGGCCATAGTCACATAGGCCATTGAATCAGCCACACCTATGTAATAAAATACCAGCAAAAACTCTGGACACCAAATGTTAGTGGAACATCCTGGTTAGAACATGTAGGGTGACTTTCCTTGATTCCATGTAGTTTGGGACCCTCCCAGACTTCACCCTTCATCTGGCTGCTGCTGATTTATATCATTTAAAATAACGCTAATTTTAAAGTACTTTCCTCAATACTGTGAGTCATTCTAGTGAGTTACTTAACCTGAGAAGGTCATGGGAAATCTTAAATTTGTAGCTAGTTAGTCAGAAGTGTGGATAGCCTGGGGCTTTCTGAAGTGTGGTAGTACCAGAATGGGGGCAGTCTTGTTGGTGACCATGTCCTTAAACCTGTGGAGTCTGGTGTTAAACTCCAGGTGGTTAGTGTCAGAATTGAATTACAGTATACCAGTTGGTGTCAGAATTTTTTTGGCAGGGGGATGATTTTATTGTACACAGATGTAATATATAAGAAAACTATGAAACAAAGCAGTGTTAAAAAGACCTATCTGGTAATTTCTACATTCAATTTGAAGTTGTAAAATGTTGACTCTGAAAGACTGTGAAGTTAAGTATGTGTATTATAATCTTTAGACCAACTACTGCTAAAAAGTATAGAAAGATATATAGTTAAAAACACAATGGATACATCAAAGTAGAATACGAAAAGACATTTAAATAATCCAAAAATTAGATGAAAAAAAAAAAAAACCAGTGGGAATTTTTTTAAAAACCAGAAAGCAAATAGTAAAATGGTAAACTCATGGGTTAGTCTGCTCAGACTACCATAACAAAATAACACAGACTGAGTAGCTTCAACAACAGACATTTATTTTCTCATAGTATTCTTATAGGCTAGAAGTTCAGTTTGTGTGGAGATCTTTCTTCTTGCCTTTTAGATGTTTACCTCCTTGTTTTGTCTTCACATGACTTTTTTTGTACTCAAAAGAAGAGACAGAGGACAGAGAGAGATCTCTGGTGTCTCTTCCTCTTCCTTATCAGACTAAGGTCTCAACCTTATGATCTCACTTAATCTTTACTATATTCCTCTAGGCCCTATCTTCAAATGCAGTCACATTGGGGGGTTATGGCTTCATGAATTTTGGGAAGGACACAATTTGGTTCATAACAATGTAAACCCTAATGTATCATTAATTTCATTAAATGCAAAATGCTGATTCGTACGAATTAAGAGATACATGAATTAAAAATTATCAACCTATATGCTACTTATTAGAAATTCATTCCACGTATAATTATATAAGTGAGTTAAAAGTAAAAGAATGGGAAAAGATATAGCATGCAGATATTAATCAAAAGAAAGCTGGAATGGTTCTATTGATATCAAAGTTTAATTTTCAGAGCAAAGAAAATTAGCAGGGATAAAGAAGAATATTATATGAGGATAAGATGGTTAATTTATCAAGAAGATGAAAAAACCCTTAAGTGTGTTTGCAGCTAACAAAAGAACTTTGAAACATATGAAGCAAAAACTCACTAAAAAAAAAAAAAAGAAATATACAAACATATAAAGAAGACTTCAATACTCCTCTCTCAGTAATATATAGAATTAGCAGACATAAAATCAGGGAGGAGATAGAGGAATAAAACAGCACCACGTAAAAACTGGCCTTAGGTGACATTTACAGAATACTCCAGCAAGAGCAAATTGCATTTCTTTTCAAGAGCACATGGAAAAAAATTAAGAAGATCAAGGATCAGCAAACTATGGCTATTAGTCACATAAGCCAATGTGCATTGCATACATTAATAAAAAGTGTATTTATTGCAAGTTGAAAAAAAAACCAAAAAGGTCAAGTTAGTGCTGCTGCTGTTCCAAAAAAGGTCATGAGGTCAGAGTTGAAAGTTCTAAGTTCAGATTGAATCCGACCCTCCTCCAGAAGGTCACCAGGTAGTAAGGGAGCAGGGCTGCCCATCCTATGGGGATCTTCCACAGCTGGGACTCCCCACAAGCTAGAAGAGTAGTTTGGGGGCCCCCACAACGAAGCTCCAGCAAGATAGGCCCCGCTGCTGCCACCAGCGCTGCTGCTCCACTGCCCGAGCCCTGTGGACCCACCGAAAAGATTCAGAGCCGGTCCGATGGGATCTGACTGGGTCTGGCCGGTCTCCAGCGACTGCCAACCTGTGGCGGGTGCACTTGGGGTTGCTGCAGGTGTAGGGAGCTGAGCTTGTGCCAGAAAGCGGCTAACTTCGTCATCGGTGGCAAACTCAGCCAGGATGGTAGTGTTTCCCAACACACACATGTGCAGTGCGGTCTGGGCCTTGGCCGCCTCCTGTTTGGTGCTGTATCGGATCAGGGCGGTGCCCTGGGTTAGGTTCAGATGGAATGTAAGCAGTGGGCCATGTTGCATGCAGATGGTTCTCAATGTTGACCCATCAATCTGTGGAGTGAGATTGTGAAGAACCAGCCAGTAACTGGGACGGACTGAACCACCATCACTCCAGGTAGAGGCCGAGGCAAGCCGCGAGTCCTGTGTCCCCCACCCCCTGACTGATCGGGGTGCTGTGCTGCTCCAGAGAGATGACGGTTTGGGGTTGGTCATACCAGGAGGTGGGCGGGGCAGCGGTGTAGTGTTCCTTGAGGAAATATGGTTTTTCCACATCTTGTAAGAGGTGACCACCTAAGTTTGTAAATATATCACATGATGAGAATCGTTGGAGCCATTTTTGAAGCTAGTTATAATACATTTCTAACAGTGTTCTCCACTGCAACTTTACTGTATGTATCTCATGAAAAGGTGAAAAAGCAATTAAAAAAATGGTCCAAAGTCTTGAGCAGACAGATCACCAAATTAAAAATACATAGACAAATAAGCACATAGAAAGCTATCAAAATCATTAGGCACTAGGATAATCCAAATTAAAAACATGGTTATATTCTCCTACAAACCTACTATAAGGGCTAAAATAAAATAATATTGACTACACCAAATCCTAGCATGGTACAAAGTAATGGAAATTTCCTTACATTGCTGGTAGGAATGTATAACAGTACAGATAATTTAAAAAATGGTTTGGAAGCTTTTTATTAAGCTAAAAATATACTTAAATGATCTAGCAATCTCATTCCTAGGTATTTACCATACAGAAATAAAAACTAATGTTTATTCAACATCCTGTACACAAATGTTTATAGCTCCTCTTTTACAGTCATCAAAAACTGGAATAACCCAAATGCCATAAACCAAGCACAGGGTACAGAAATTATGGGACATATATACGATGGAATAATACTCAGCAACAAAAAGGAACTGTTGATACACACAGAAACTTGGGTGGATCTCAAAGATTATACTGTGAAAGAAATCAGTGTCAAATATTATATTCTGCATTATTTCACTTACAACATTCTTGGAAACAAAACTTCCATGATCAAGAATAGATCAGAGACTTTCAGGGAGTAAGAGTGGGTTAGTGAGTGTAAAAGGATAGCAAAAGGACATTTTGGGGTTAATGGAACTATCCTATTTCCTGATTTTGGTGGTGCCTGCATTATTTCATACATGTGTTAAAATAATGGTCAGTTTCACTGTGTGATAATTTATAAAATAAAAGCAAATAAATGAAAAAAAAAGGGTGGTTATTATTATTAGTTTCCTGGCCTCACCAACTTAGTACATATTGTCCTCAGAAAACAGTAAAATATCTAATTTTGTTCATCAAATGTAATACACATTTATTAAAAAGAAGAAATTATTATTGATATTATTATAATTATCTAATAAGCCACTTTCAAAGAATTCTGAAATGACCTCTAACTTAATCTAATAAACCATTTTTTAAGTTATCTATTGCTATGTAACAAACCTATGGTTTAAAACAACACTTCATTATTTTACATTTTCTTCATTAGCTTGATGGCTTCTCTGCTCATTTTTCCTAGGCTCATATATGTGACTACATGCAGCTCAAGAATTAACTGCATTAGAAGACCCAAGATGGTATCAACGACTTCTCTGGCATTAACGCTGGCTGATTACCAGGGCAACTCAAGTCTTCTCTACATGTCTCTCACCATCTAATATTCTTTTTTTTTTTTTGAAGATATTATCTATTTATTTGACAGACAGAGAGAGATCACAAGTAGGCAGAGAAGCAGGCAGAGAGGGAGGGGGAAGTAGGCCCTCTGCTGAGCAGAGAGCCTGATGCAGGGCTCAATCCCAGGACCCTGAGATCATGACCTGAGCTGAAGGCAGACGCCTAATCCACGGAGCCACCCAGATGCCCCACCGTCTAATATTCTAGATCAACTTCCTTATGTGGTGGCTCTGAGCAGCACTCCAAGAAGGTGAAACTAAATGTTAGATCTCTTTAAGTCTAAGCTCTGGACCCACGATGCCCCTTTGCCAATATTCTATTGGTCAAAGCAAATTTTAATTTCAGCTCAATTCAAGCGAAGGGGAAACTGACTTCACCACTTCATTGCAGAAGGCACAAAATATTTGAGCTGTTGTTTTGTCTACCAAACCATTTTATTGTTATATTGTGACAGAAGCTAATGGCTAAGTGAACATTTCTGGGATGACCTGCAAAGATAGAAATTTCTGACTTTTTCTCAACACAGTAAGAGCAAAGTTCTTTCATTTATGCTGTTAATACCATTTTTCATATGAATAGCCCTATATTCATGATGCCACTTACATTATGGACATCTCTATTTGTCATCTTTTTAAATTTTTCTTAAGTATTAACTAAAATGGCTGTTGTTTATTTACTGCATGGCTCAGACCAGTACTTGGTTCCCTGCAAGACAGGCTTGATAATCTGTTAACACAGCTTCAGTTTCTCTGCGAGGAAAAACAAAATCACACTAACAGAGGAATGACATTAAATTCAGTCTGCCTTGGTTAGGAACTGGAAATATAGCACTCTTACTTGTCAGCTAAGAGAATTCTTGTGATTAAAAAATTGGAGAACTGTATTTTGAAAAGATGCGAAGCACTTTCCCAAGGAAATAATTTCTAGATTTCTATTTTTAGAACTGCTTCTCCCAAAATTGTCTCTGCAAATATGTTTCAGTCCTCACTTACATTTCTATTGTCTTGGTCTTAATTTATTATTATTTTTTGTAGTCTGCTTATTCAACACATAGAAGTTTCATGACTATACATATATTGATATTGCAATTACACTGATATGTAAAACAATACAGATAGAGAGTCTTCTATAATTCCATAGCTGAATGTAAGTTTCCTGAATAACATACAGGTTTATTTTAGGACTTCTTTTTCAACCTAGCAACACTTTTAAAGGAGAGCTCACTTACATTAAGAAATTGAGAAATAATAGCACTTGTTAGGAATGTGAAATGACCTTCTGTTCCCAAATGTATGCTGTGCCGAACATTTCAATCGTGTATTTCCTTGATTTCATTCTAAAAGTAATGCTCTGATTAATATCATCCTTGCAATTTGCTGTTAGGTGCAACAGACGGTTTGTAACTGGCCCTAATGAAATGGTGAAAATCGGAAACTTCAGGACAGATTACATATACAGAAAGATTTAATTTTCATAATGGCTGGATACAAGAATTAGATGTAGTGTTTCAAATACCCCCCCAAAAAAAGTTTGACCAGCAATATATTTTTATTCAGAGTCCTGAGCAAAATGATTTTTTCATTTAATTGCAGGACATCAGTAAGTGGACGTACCATGGCTCCCACTTCTGATCAGAATCTAAAATCTGCCTTCTGTTTTAAGTACATTTAATGCTACCACTGGTTTGATAACCTATTCTTGGAAACCATACATTGTGCTTTTTCAATTAGCCAGGATTCAAGCTAGTCACCTGATCTAACAAAACAAGATAAAACATCAAGATGCAATTGGCTGGATGTCTGCTATTGCAAAGAAATGAGGACACTGAGGAATATATTTATCAGAGCCTAGGCGATAGAAGCAACTGGGGATAAGGAGGTCTACAAAGGACCTTGAGGGATCTAGTTGAGATAGGGTTGTTCAGTGTAAGACACTTTCCAAAATATTTGTAACGTTCATCTGCTAACAGTGATGGATCTCATTAATTTGTATGCCAAACTATACCATTCTATGACTAACAACATATGAATTTCTTAAACTTAAGCCAGATTTCTTATTACATTCCAATCTAATTTCTCTTATAGCAATGATTTGTAGAGTCTGTAGCCACTAAATGCCCCTCTGCTAGAGAAGACTTTATTCTTTACTAGAATATCTCCAGGTTTTCTCAGGAGTTTGGTTTATCAACATTCTTTCTAAAGAGCTCTCTAGAGAATTAGGCACTATGCCCCCAGAGGCAATTTGATCCATATGAAGCACAAGGTGATAATCCTATCCCTTGCTGTGTATTCATCCTAAAGTTTCATTAGAGGAGTCTTCAGAATCATTCCACACTGTCAATATCTACGGGCTTGTCCTCAGCTTAAAGCTCATGCTTTGTTACTATGGATTTCTGTTAAGCCAAATTTCCTCCACCTAATGTTATATATGTGTTTCTGTACACAATGTGTGTATGTGTGGGTAAAAGAAAGAGATGGTCAGTATTTTTCTTCAAGATTTCTGGAGTCTTCTGAATGCTCAGATTGTCAACAATGAAATTAATTATGCCTCATGAGGTCGTATTATGAATAAAAGATTTTGTTTTCTCCTTCATGAATTATGGGATTAAGTGTGTGAGGCACATATTAATAAAGGGAAAGATAGATTTCTAAAAATATCTTATTAGATATTAAGTCACTACTAATATTCAATAAAACTTGAGTCACAGAAAATGAAGTTGATTGGAAATTTGAGAGAAAAGGTTGATTTTTTTGGCAGTCTGTTTTTTTTTAAAGATTTTATTTATTCATTTGAGAAAGAGAGAGAAAGAGAGCACAAGCAGAGGGGAGAGGCAGAAGCAAACTCTTCGCTGAGCAGGGAGCCTGATGTGGGGCTTGAGCCCAGGACCCTGAGATCATGACATGAGCGAAACGCAGATGCTTAACCTTCTGAGCCACCCAGGTGTCCCTGGCAGTCTATTTTTAGAGGTAAGTCAGACAAGAGAAACAGTAAATATGGCATGAAAAACAAAGGGCACCTATGCGCATCTTACAAAGGACAACTTTCCTGACATCTTCACTTATGTTTTAATCTATTCTATGAATTCCTCTCTTTCTCTCTCTCTCTCTCTCTCTCTCTCTATATATATATATATATATATATAAACCTAGTACTCCATTCTGTTGAAAATGAAGCTCAGAATAATAAATCTGAGATTAAAGAATGGCCCAGTATAAAATATTAAATGAATTTTGTCTCACAATCAAAATCAGGAACACAGGTGTTTTGTCTTATTTATTCTAAACTAAACAAAAATTCAATTCCTCAAATTTCCCCATTCAGGTTCCTTCTATTCATTTGGACTTATTGCATGCCAAAGTTTTATTATTTCTTCTTTTTTACTAATTTCAAAATACGATATACTTAAAGAAATGTTACAGATATGTACTCATCTCTGCTTTTCCCTTGGGAATTTATTTTGCTGAAAGAATTATAGAACTAACAAAATGGGTTAGTTTATTTAGTACATAATAATCTTCAGAACAAGGACATGGTATGGAAAATCAACTCATTCAAATAATAGATA